AAACTGATAGACATACCCCAAGCGACTTGCAGCTGTAATTGCAGCAAAAGGTGGCGCTACAAAGTATTAGCGCAAGGGGGCCGAATAATATTGCACGCCCCACTTTTCAGTTTTTTATTTGTTAAAAAAGTTTAAATTATCCAATATATTTTGTTCCACTTCACGATTGTGTCCCACTTGTTGTTGATTCTTGACAAAAAATTAAATTTTTATATCTTTATGTTTGAAGCCTGAAATGTGGCGAAATGTTGAAAGGTTCAAGGGGGCTGAATACTTTTGCAAGGCACTGTATTTATCCTCTACTACTGAAGAAAGTTGCTGTTTTTCAAAATTAAAGAGCAAATGTTATGCAAAAAATTTGTCATAAGTAATACAAAAATTAACCTGGCAAAAGCCAGATTGATGATTGTGTAGAACTCTAACGCGTTCTCCGCGATATCAATCTGGGATTTCTCCCGGAGAATCCTTTCGGGGAAAGGAGGGGTAAGCAGCAGAATACTTGAAGCTGATTGGGCGAAGTGACGCTGTGTGCCCGCCTACCAAGGTTGCCGTCCAGAAATGTACAAAGCGCCTCTCGCTGTTCATCTTTCAAAAAAGAAATTGGAGATTCTGCTAAAACTGACTTTGCGTCCGTCCTCCTGCGTAGCCATGTTTGTTTTGCTTCGGCCCGGCACTTCTTGCTTTCGTCAAACCCGGATATCCCGCCCTAAACCCCCAGACTGGCGCGTGATTGGCTCGCACACCCAGTGGTTCGACTCGAAAAGGGTTGGCGGGAGCGGTACAAGATGTATTCTCGAGTGTTTGTGAACTCACAAATACCGCGAGAATTCAGCTTGCAGGCAAGGTTATACAAAAATAGTCATCTATAAATCAGTCTACAATACTCAGCATTGTGTGGCGCTGCTCAATAGTAACATTTTTGAACTGAAGTCGCTTTCAATGATGATGAAAGCAGGTCGCATTAAAACGGGTCCTTGGCCTCCACAATATAAGTGTATCTGTATGGAACGTTGTAATAGAACGTTGTAACATGGTGAAGAACCTTAAAAGACATAATTTCTCATAACGTGTGTAATTCCACCCACTCCAAAGTGCTCATGTAAACAAGAGCAGTGTGCACGACCGTATTGTCAAAAATGAATTGCTGACTGTTTGGCTCAAAACACAAAATTGCAAGTGAACTTTGGGACATGGGACGTACAGCTCTGAGTGGGACACTTTATTGGATCTGTCTGGAGTTCCTGCTAAAATTGCCCATGTGTTTCGCACGGAGCTTTTGGTTGCGAAGCGATTGTGGAAAAGGTGCCAAAGAACAGAAGTGTGGTGTTAGAAAATAGAAGGAAAAAACACTGGTCCAATCTGCTGATGGAACAGAGCTAAGTTCACATGTGATTTCAACACGAGGAGATAAAGAAGAGCTTTTGATGCCGTAATGGAGACATATTTAATAATAGAGCAACAGAGGAATGCTCAGGAGATCATGCTCATGGTTGATCTTAATCTTTAATAAATAAATTGAGAAATGTCAATATTTCATCTATAAGAAATATGTTCATTCCTACTTTGTCCAAGTGATCAAATCTTGTTTTCTCAGTTAATCACAGGCCTGACATTAAATACGCCAATTATTTGAAGAATGTCTCAACAATGATAGTCATTTGTCTTTAACAGAGAGAAAAGACTAACCGTTTAAGAATCCTGTTTCTCAAATATCTAGAAAATATGTTTTGATTGTTGTTCATAGTAGCTGTAACCTTGCATTATTATTATTAAATCTAAATGTTTTCATTGTAAAAAATCCACATTGACGTCATTGCCAAAAGTAAAGTAGTAAAAGGAGATTTCTATGTAATGTGTATCTGGCGCTGCAGCTAACAATGATTTTAGTGTTTGGGTATTGTATCAACTGTGTATACATCAGTCCATGCATGCTATATATTTAATATATATATATATATATATATATATATATATATATATATATATATATACATACACAATATTTTTTAGGAAAGATAGGATTCTGATTTAGAATAAAACAAGGCTAAATTATGATTCTTCATAGAAACAGACGCCTTCAGAGCTGTATTGTGTTGGCACAATGCATAAAAAAAGCTTAAAATGTAGTGCCTTTGATCTGCAACAGTTTACCATAGTGGTGTTGTGTGTATGTGTGTGTTTGTTATTGTGTGCTTTTGTGTGTTTATTATTGTGAGCCTGTATGTGTGTGTGTGCTGTGATTGCGTGCCTGTAGCTGTGTGTGTTTGTGATTGTGTGCATGTAGCTGTGAGTGTGTGTGTGTATGTGTATGTCTATGATTGTGTGCGTGTAGGTATGTGTGCCTGTGATTGTTTAGGTGTGTTTATGTGTGTTTTGACCTCACAAATTAATATTTTGTATCTTTGTTGTGGAACTTCTTTCGGGTGATTTTAAAAAAAAACTTTCAAAAAGCCCAATCATTCAACCCAGTTTTTCCAAGTCAAATATATCAGACCTGTGACACACTTTAAACACTGTTCCAGAGGGAAATGATGCAAATGGAAAACAAACGGACAAATGGACGATTGTGGAGTCTGAGTACACACCGTGCTGCACTATGCTTCCTATATGAGACACACACATGAGAGGGTTTGGAGGCTCTCTCTGGAAGGCCTCTGGGTGCCTTTGTGTGTGTGTGTGTGTGTGTGTGTGTGTGTGTGTGTGTGTGTGTTGTGGCACTGCTCAAACTTGGCGGCAGATGTTTGGTCATGTCTCTGAAGTGCGTCCCTCACTCGGTCTCTCGCTCGCCCACTCACACACAGCACTTCTCTCTCTTCTCCTTTCTCACTCTCTCTTTCCCTCTCTCTCTCTTATCTCTCTCTCTCTCTGTGTTTTTGCCCCGGGCCACTTTCCCGCCGCAGCTGTGTCCATCCCCCGCTCTACCTTTGGTGTTCCTGTGCCTCGGGCGCTAAATGTGTGACCACAGAAAGGGAAAAAAAGGAAGAATATATATTTATTTCACCGAAGCTCGCATCTGCTGACAGTCACACACACGCACACACACACACAGGAGAAAGGAAAAGCCATGTTAGCTGGTCTCGAGTAAACAAAAGCAGTCAAGGCCACAAGGACACCTCTGAGGAGAACAAGTCCTTTTGAAAGAGCAAAAGTTCATTTGAACATGTTTGAATATTGTTTGGGCCTAAAACGTTGGAGAAAAAGGGCTCTTTCTACTTAAGAACTGTTTGATTAATTATTTTGGAGGAAGGCCAAGCTGGGCCAATAATAACTGAAAAAAGCCTTTTAAATATTTTGTAGTTGTAATATAAGCAAGAGGGGTAAGAATTGAACCAAATTGAGCCAAGGCACAACATTCAAAAAACTGGTTCAAACATAGATAATTTCTGTTTTTAATAAAGAATGAATTGAATGAATTAAATATGTTGACTCTTTCAAAGTGTGGTTAGTTTTGGTTCCTGTTTTCATGTATTTTAGATTATAATAGTTTATAGTTTAGTGTTTATCTTGACCTCAATCTGTAGCTTAGGTCCATTTTTTATTTCTATTGTTTGCCAATGTTCTTTCTGTGCCTTGTAAGCACCCTGGGTTGGTTCTGTATGAATGGTGCTTAATAAATAAATTTGCCTTGCCTTGCCAATAGGTCATGTAACTACAGATATAGCCTGTTTATTCAAGTGGAGCGGATCGCTCTCTCAATGTGGATCTCCTTGAGGTTTCTCACTTTTCTCTCACTGGGCTTTAAAGTTTTTCCTTGCCGATGCAGGACGGTCTGTTGGACAATTAGTGTCCAACAAGACGGACTGTGGTGATGATCCAGGATAACCTAATTCTGCAACGTTTACGGACATTTATCAACATTCATGGACATTGGTTACTCCCTATGGACCAATACATATGTGTTCTACATTTTTTGAGTCTAAACTGTTGTTTCACTGATCTGTGTGGACGATTTCAACGGTTTTGTAATCTGAGATGTCTACTGTTGTGATTCAGGGCTATACAAGTATAAATTGAATTGAATTGAATTGAATAATGATGAAATGTAATGAAATGCGTGCAGAACAATGCTGTATGACGGCAGTTGTGCATGATACTGTATGTGTACAATCATATGATAAATACTTGTGTTTGAATGTCCCTGGCCATAATCCAACATGACGTTCTTTACATTGGCCAATTGTAGAAGCTAGACTGTGCTCTTGTGAGGTCATGTGATTCATTATGCAAACATGAGTGCAACACAAAGTGCCATCAGTGCAGACAACACACAGGTCAATTAGCATGTCACACAGTACAGTGTACAGAGCAAACAGAGTCACACAGTACAGTGTACAGAGCAAACAGAGTCACACAGTACAGTGTACAGAGCAAACAGAGTCACACAGTACAGTGTACAGAGCAAACAGAGTCACACAATACAGTGTACAGAGCAAACAGAGTCACACAGTACAGTGTACAGAGCAAAGCACACACATAAGACCACACTACAGACTACAGGCCTTTCACACGACTCCACTGGAGGCGGCTCCACACAGTTTACACGTTTTCACACTCAAGTGAGGAGTGCCGTGCAGCTAAAGCAGGCGATTCAGGGCCCGGTTCAAGAGCAGGGCCGGAGCAAGCTTTATGTGTGAAAAGCGCATGTAACATTTGATTTGCATAATGGCTGAGGACCACTGTGTGTGGAGAGAATGGAAGGTTGGAATCATTGAACAATAAGACAATAAAAAACATTATTAGTCCAGTTTACTGAAACCATAAAAGTCACAACACCCCCCTCACCTCACTCCTCATGCGACTGCTACTGCGGCCTTTTGTTCTTTCTACTGTCAAATAGGGATTGGAAAAGCTACGGAAAATACATAATATATAAAATGTGGCTGAGAACAGTCCAGAGTGGTATAAATAGTAGATAGTGTTGGCTCCTCACAGACCTCCCACATCACGGCTGTGTGTCCCAGTGCGTTCAGATGAATGGGGCTGCTTGCGTATGCGCGGGGTTAACTCCACATGAAGGGGAGGCAGACAGACAGGGGCGTGGGGGTGCGATTCCCCGAGCAGAACAGATGCGTATGACAGTGGGCTCCTTTACACCTGTACAGTCCTTGTAACCTGGTGCTGCGCTGAATATTCATGACCCGTGGGGCATGCTGTCGGCCATCAAACAGCCCACTCCCCCCACGACACCGCTCTGACTGCGCACTCACACATGCACGGGAGAAACGTACACAAAGATGGTTGATAAGACAAGCGCTCACTGTTTCTAGGCCTGTCCATGTAATTACTGCAGCATATAGAGTCGTTACAATACTTATTAGCTGGAAAAATTAAGTTTAAGTTACACTTTATTGTCTCTGTGGGGATATTTGTGCTCTTCCTCCTCAACAGTACGTGCAAAAGACACAATAAAACAATAAACAGGATACCAAAAAATATATAAAACGCACACACACACACACACACACACGTACACACAGAGACACTCACACTCACACCCACTACTAGACATAAACGCAGCAGACGCTTATTTGATTCTGACCCCTCTCATACAACCCAACACATCACTTTCTCTGGGCTGAGGGCATCGCTCTTTTCCTTTTTTCCTTTTTATTGGACAGGTTTTGACTTAATCTAGTCCAAAGACTGGGGCAACCCGTCCGGATCTACATGACTGACTTGTCTTGGTGGGACAAAACCCATGGTAAATACTAGTCGCTGTATTTATAGTATCAGTCAAGGGACAGATGTTGACCAAAAGTTGAAGAAAATGAAAACATAAATATATGCATACGAAGAGAGAACATATGAAGAGTTGATTTGCAAAATGAACTCTTTATATGAATCAACTCTTTGAAATTGTGTCAAAAAGTTGTATTTCTCTGGCTACTATCGTCAACATGTTTTGTTATTGGCAATACATTAAAAGAATTTGCTCAAAAGGGTGACTTCTTGTTTTGGTGAATGCAGTTCATGCTTCAGACCAAAGAGAACGTTGTTTTAAGTGCTGAAGAATGAATTAACAAAATTTATGAAAACATGTTGACCTGAAATAGTGGAATCATATGTAATATTCATATCTTTATATAAATATTGAATCCATTCCAATGATTGGACTTTTTGTTCACAATTATTTTGATTATTTTGTAAATTGTGTGTCTACATCCCAAAATAAAACTTGAATGTGTTTTCAATCCACATTCTGTACCCAGTTGTATCAGCCTCACTTTGGAATCACATAACAAGTGTTGTCACCTGGCTTGAGTCACATAAGTGGGTGCCAATCTCTCTCTTTCTCAAAACTTCCACAAATACATATGGATATATTTCTATTGTTTTTTTCTCTGTCTTTAAAATAAATACCCCTATACCCCTACATGTCCACAAGCACTAGTCCTGGTTTAGCTCTTGTTTTGACTGTTTTCGAGCATCTTCCTACTCTGGGTTTGTGTCCCCATGACCACTGGTTACCACATGAGTGTTTGGCAAAAAGACCAAAAAGAGCAATGTTCATGTCCACACCGGTACTCACAGGCCCTGCCTTGCCACAGGAACGCATCTGCTGTATGGGATAAATGTTGGTGCAACAACGCACATGCAAATATTTGCACCAATGTAGGAAACCATTGTCTTTGCTTGTAAACGTGCAACACAGCTTTGTCTGGTGGAAACACAGCTTTATATTGTATGTATTCTGTAGTCAACAATGTCATCATGTGTGGAGCTCTGACCTGGTCTGCTCCTGTCGGCCGCATCAGTGACACTCTGTCGTACTGTCGTCTCAGCAGAGCCCACAAAGCATCCATACGACCCTGCACAAACATGGAAAAAGATATGGATGAATTGTTGAATGGCCGAGATACCATGATAAAGGCAGAACACGGTTAGATGAGGGGCCTCCAAAGAGCAACTTTACTTTACTGGCTCAGAGGAAAAAACAACTATCCGAACGGACTTAACTTCACAGACTTTCTTTGGTCATAATATGTCATGTCACACATGACACACAACACAAAACCAGGATGGACTTAAATAGCCATGATGAAACAGTCAACTCCGTGATCTCCAACAAAGTTTTACTTTCATTGTCCCTGTGGACGTTCCATGGCGCCCCGTCCTGCCCCAGTGTTTGTGTGAGTGTAGCGCTGCACCTTGATGGGGGTGTACCACTTGTGCTGCTGCGGTGCGGGACCAGGCCTGGGCTTCTGCCTCGGGACCATGGGCTCCTCTGCGTCCTCAGGAATGGAGATCTTAGCATTCTTGGCCATCTCCAGCCGTGCCCCCTCCTCTGTGGAGCCCTTCTCCCCCCAGCGCACCTAAGCAAACCAGGAAACAGAACAGACGTTTAGGAGCCTGCAAAAGATTTCCCTGTTCTGTTGAAGTTGTTTTAAGTGATGCCTTCATGTTTGATTAATCTTGATTGATGAACCTATGTGTGCAACAGTAGCTCAGTTGGTAGAGCATTGGCCTTTGAGCCAGAGGGTCGTGGGTTCGAGCCCGACCTTCACCATCGACTCCCACTGTCTGCTGTCATTGTGTCCTTGGCAAGACACTTAACCTCTGGGAACACCAGCCACAGTGGGGCGGCTGCGGCTGTAAAGTGCCAAACTGCTGTTGTGTCCTTAGGCAAGACACTTCACCCCCACTGCCTAAAATGAGTCTGGTGTGTGTGTGAATGGTTGGTGGGGGTCGGAGGGGCCTATGGCACATACTGGTTGCCTTGCTTCTGTCAGTGTGCCCCAGGGCAGCTGTGGCCACAGTAATAGTTTATCACCACTGTGTATGGAGTGAATGAATAATGACATGTGAAGCGTCTTTGAGTTTATATAGCGCAGAAAAGCGCTATATAAAACCAATGTTATTATTATTATTATTACATATGAACCCACAACCTCCCTCTGACAGCCCCCATTGGGCAGGAGTGGTCAGAATATTGTCCAATAAAAGATATCCAGCATGTTTTCTGCATGTAATGTGTCTCCCCAAACTTGTCTGCGCAAAATGTAAGTATTTGGTCTCTGCTGTTAAGAATAACTATAGAAAAGGAGCAAATATCTTGATTTTTATTCATCAAACTGAAATTTCCCCACTGTGGGACTAATAAAGGCATTCAATTATTAATTGCTTTTCTTTTTTTTCTGCCAGCCCACCCCGTGGAACGGGCAGAATATGTAGAGTGCGTATGGAATGTTTCCTGAGGTTTCTCAATCAGTAAGTGAATGTAAGTAAGTAAGTAAGAAATCTTTATTTATATAGCACATTTCACAGACCAAGGTCAACAAAGCGCTTTCGAACGTTTTTGGAGTTTGGATAGTTTTCCATTCTCTCCACACACGGTGTTGGCGGAAGCGAGATGCCATCTCACAGGTGCATCAAAGCCATCAACAACACCATCCATTCATTTTCTCTTTACATTCAGACCTACTGTACAAGTTTTTAGCTGTAGGGGAAACCGGAGAACCCGGAGGAAACCTATGCAGACACGGGAAGAACAGGCAAACTCCACACAGAAAGGCCTGGATGTGGAATCAAAGCAAAAGCGCTAACCACTGTGCCATCATGCAAAGGAACAAACTTTAATTTTACTAATAAACTTACAAAATCACTTTTGAAATGGTAAAAGTTAGATACTACTTAGATTTAAGCCCACTCGCACATGATTTCTAATTGAAATGCTACATACTGGTGCTTTATGATTGCCCCAATCCACATGATAGCGACTTCAAACAGCAGCACACCCCTCTGGTATAGTATGTGAGTGGATGTACAGGTATTGGCGCTAAAGGGATTTCCCATGCTCCTTTGGGGGAACGCGTCATGTCTTTAACCCACTCCACGGAGCTGCTTTGATCCAGCGTCCCAGGTTCATTTCCCCTGACAGTAGATATCTTGTCAGGACCAAACCTTTGCACTGAAGACGTTGCAAACAAATGATCTTTTATTCATATGATAGGCCTGAAACGCTGTAATTATGCTGCGCTTTAACCTGTGCTAAGCTGAGAGAATATACAAAGAAAGATGTTTGAATACAGTGGGTGAGGAGCAGATGTGAAAAGCGCTCACACATGGGACAATATGTTTTGAGGTTGACTAATGCTTAGTTAATGTACAGTATACGGCATCAGTGTGGTAAAAACCTGAATATTCATGTTTACCAGTATTTTGATACTCATTATAGAAAGAAAATATTTAGTAAAAATAAAATAGAATCAAATAAGTCAGTTTAATTTCTTAGTTTTGTGCATTTACTTTTGAATGTGCTAGAAACAGAAGCAGGTCTTAGTAGTAGCTCTGAAACAATTGTTATTTTTCATGCTTTTTCTAGTTGTAAATGTTACTGGTTGTAATGGTCATGGTTTTACACTGATCAAGACCAGAGCAGAGAGGATGCAGTGTCTGAACCAAGCAGAAATCCATTTGAGGAATGTCCTTTTTATCTTTGAAAAATGCACATAAAGCATTCAGAATTTGACTCTGAACTTGAGCAGCAAAACCAAGCAGACTCTGCATACATCCACCAGAGGAAGCAGCTCATCACCAGCAGCTCTCCCACCTCTGCTGCTGTGACCTGTCCTCCCACTGAAGCGCTCAGAGGAAACCAAAAGAGAGAACTTAATAGAAGCGCGAGGACCTTCTTACTGAGGGATAAACTTAAATCAGCTTTCACTCATAATTTGTTTCTGCTAGAACCCCGCCCACCAGACAAAGTGAGCCCAAGTATTGTTCTATTGTACAAATAAGATAACATGTTAAAATAAGACCAGACTGAATTGTTTAAAGACCAAAATGTTCTCAGTGTCATAAGAAATTGGCATTCAAAGACTCAAAAATCTTTATAATTTTTCTATGAGGTGTAGCAGACATTCAAGTACAATCAAGAAAATAAAAGATCTAAAATGTTTTGTCATTTAAAAGTGCAGTAGCAGTGGGAACAAATGAACTCTTGGCATCTGTAACGTGGGCCTGATGGAGTATTTCGAAAGCCTGCTTCAGCGGTGAGTGTCTTGGCCTTCAGTTCGGCTGCTTGACTGTGAAGTTCTTTATCCCGTTATCTATCTTTTACAGAGGTGAGTGTGAAGCCAGAGATGATGCATTAGACCCATCCTTCCCATGCCACAAGGGCAGCCGGTCAAGAGCAGTGTGGTGCCTGAGCACCCATCTCCAGATGTTTGTGCTCGGCTTGGGTCAGAACGACCTATGGTAGTGGTAGTGCAGATACAGTGATACAGTGATACAGCTTTACTACATCCTGTTGGTTTTATTAGTATCGCAAGTACTACTTACTTACTTCAAACATCACAAGAGATTGACCACTTTGGGTTTTCTGAGGCAGGACAAAGGCCATCTTTCCTACGTTAAGGATGCAAATAAATGTGGGGTAGAAGCCAATGCTAATCAGACCCAAATATAAAGCCTTTTTGGATTTCATGAAAAGTATTATAATGATCTATAATATATTATTATTATTACTCGTTACGATGTGGTGTACATGTGGAGGTGAAAACAGGGGCTGTGGGCGTATTACTAAAACAAACATCACTCTATATTCAACATCATTGTGTATATGAGAAGAAAAAAACAATTATGCCAAGACTCAGAGCTCTTGAAAATAGATTATTCAGAATCTGCCTCCTTTAAGTCAGTTGTACGCTTTCAAGTTAATTTCAAAGGCCGCTCTCCCCTATCTCAACCTGCTCCACGTCGACGAAGGAAACTCTCTTCTGAAGATCACAACGTCCTTTCAAACATTCACCAAACAGGTTGATCCGAACAGGGCCCTTTTCAACCTGCATACAAGCCCTGTCGCCGCCAATGAAGCCTTCGGTGACGGACGAGGCGTTGGAAGTCACCCCCGGGGGGAGACACGGAGCTGAGGAGCCTCCCGGAGGACAGTGGGTGAGGCGCGGAACTTCACAGCGGGACGCGGAGATGAAACGAGGTGAGCCGAGGTATGTTTTTTTCCCCCCATCAGAGCGGAGGGGGGGCAGGTCAGAAAAATGTGAGTGATGTGAGCGGTAAGAGTGGACCTGGCAGGAGCTGTCATGTCACAGCCGTCACACAGAAGAGGCAATCAAAAGTTCAACTCAAAACTCAGCACTTTTGACACAGCTGGTAGAGGTTATGAGGCGGGTGTGTATGTACGGAGTGTGGAGAGGGATGACGGGAGATTGTTTTAGTAATCAATAAGTAAGTAATCTTTATTTATATAGCGCATTTTTACAGACGAAGGTCACCTTATGCACTTTACATGTCACACACGGTAATGAGGGAAGCTGAACGCCGAACACAGCGGTGCATCAAAGCCCCCAATCAACACCATCCATTCACTCACTCATTAAATTCATGTTGCGCATGTTTTTAATAGTAGGGAAAACCGAAGCACCCGGAGGAAACCGTAGCACCCGGAGGAAACTGGAATGCCCAGAGGAAACCTACGCAGACACTGGAAGAAGATGGCAACTCCACTCAGAATGGCCCTGCTCGACTGGGATTTGAACCACCCAACTCTTCAGCAAGACTTCTTTACATTACTCATTTTATTATTTCCAATGGGACTTGGAAATATGGAGAAGTAAACAATGCCCAAATGGAGGTACATTGATTGGTTGATTTAAATGTGCCCAGCTTGATGAATCCAAAGTTCCCAGCTTTCACAAACTCCATGACACATTTCTCATTTGAGATGGCGCCTCGTACGGTCGACATGGCTCTTTGCTGCTCTCTTTTTCTTTTGTTTTTACTTTTTAACTGCGCATCTGGCTGTTCCTACACCCGTGAGGAACTTATGAACATCCGACCCACCGTTCCCATGGACCTATTGCCTGTTTTCTTGGCATCTGCGGCTGATTTAGTTCATGTTCTAGCCAAAAAAGTGTGGGCCCGTAAAAGGGGAAAGCGCGGAGGCCTGCTCGTGCGTCTTAGGAGGAGAGGAGCGCGCACGGCTCTCCCCGGCATTTTTCTCTCCAACGTACGCTCACTGGGCAATAAGATGGACGAACTCAGCCTGCTCATGAGAAGAAACAAGGACTTCGCCACATCCTGTGTCCTCTGCTTCACTGAGACCTGGCTAAATGAGCGGATCCCGGACTGCGCTCTGGAGCTGCAGGGCTTTGGGCTGTTCCGCGCGGATCGCCATTGTGCGCTCTCAGGGAAGAGCAGAGGCGGAGGGCTGTGTTTCTATGTCAATACAAACTGGTGTAATGATGTGACAGTGATCTCCAAGCACTGCTCTCCTGCTTTGGAATATCTTTTCATTCATTGTAAACCATATTACTCCCCGCGCGAAATTGTTTCATTCATTCTTGCCTCTGTTTACATACCGCCATGCGCGGACGCGCGCGAGGCTCAGCGCGCACTTGCAGAGCAAGTACTGTGTATGGAACGCTTATACCCGGACTCTCTGATTATTATCCTGGGGGATTTTAATAAGGGAAACTTGAGCCAGGAATTACCCAAATACAGACAGTTTATCAAATGCCCGACCAGAGAGGAGAACACTCTGGATCACTGTTACACCACCGTGCGCGGAGCTTTTCGCGCTGTTCCCAAGCCAGCCCTCGGCTTCTCAGATCACTCCATGATACATCTGGTTCCTGCTTACAGACAGAGACTAAAGCTCTCGAAACCTGCAATGAGAAGCTCCAAAGTGTGGTCTGATGAAGCTGTGGAAGAGCTGCGCGCATGCATGGAATCTACAGACTGGGACCTTTTCAGAGCTGCCACAGATAGTTTGGATGAATATACGGACACTGTGACGTCATACATTCACTTCTGTGAGGATAGCATCATTCCAACAAGGACCAGGGTCATCTATAACAACGACAAACCCTGGTTCACTGCTAAACTCCGGCAGCTCAGGAAAGCAAAGGAGTCTGCTTTCAGGGAGGGGGACCGCAGCGGCTACAAAGCAGCTAAATATCAGTTCAGGAAAGAACTGAAAGCAGCCAAGTCCCGGCACAGAGAACGTCTACAGGAGCAGTTTGGTAACAACGATACTGCTTCTGTCTGGAGGGGCCTACGGGAGATCACCAACTACAAACCCAAAGCCCCCCCCCTGTGCTGACGACCACAAGCTAGCTGACGATCTGAACTTATTTTTCAGTCGCTTTGATGCTGCCCCTGACACCTCTCCCTCCCCCACCCCCCACTACTCTAACGACCCACCCATCAGCCCTGCCCCCAGCCTAACAATAGCCGCTAAAGAGATTAAACAACTCTTCCTGAGGCTGCACCCCCGCAAAGCTCCTGGCCCGGACCACGTGTCTCCGGCCACTCTGAGACACTGCGCCAGTGAGCTTACTCCTGTGTTCACGGACATTTTCAACACCTCTCTGCAGTCCTGCCATGTCCCGGCCTGCTTCAAATCCTCCATCATTGTCCCCGTCCCGAAGAAGCCCAGGATCACAGGACTCAATGACTACAGACCTGTAGCACTTACGTCTGTCGTCATGAAGTAATTTGAACGCCTGGTTCTCTCCCATCTCAAGTCCCTCACCTCCCCCCTCCTGGACCCCCTGCAGTTCGCCTACAGAGCCAACAGATCTGTAGACGACGCCATTAACCTGGCCCTCCACCACATCCTACAGCACCTGGACTCCCCGGGGACCTACGCCAGGGTCCTGTTCGTGGACTTCAGCTCTGCCTTCAACACAATCCTGCCATCCCTGCTCCAGGACAAGCTCTCCCAGCTCAACGTGCCCGATTCCACCTGCAGGTGGATCACTGACTTCCTGACGGACAGGAAGCAGCGAGTGCGTCTGGGGAAGAATGTCTCGGACTCTCGGATTATAAATACAGGAGCCCCACAGGGCTGTGTTCTTTCTCCCCTGCTCTTCTCCCTGTACACCAACCACTGCACCTCCAGCCACGACTCCGTGAAGCTGATCAAGTTCGCGGACGACACCACCCTCATTGGACTCATCTCCAACAACGATGAGTCCGCCTACAGGAGGGAGGTGGACCGGCTGGTGTCCTGGTGCAGTGGTAACAACCTGGAGCTGAACGCCCAGAAGACAGTGGAGATGATTGTGGACTTCAGGAAGAGCACTGTCCCCCCACCCCCACCCTCCGTGATGGACTCCCCCATCACCTCTGTGGAGTCCTTCCGTTTCCTGGGCACCACCATCACCCAGGACCTCAAGTGGGAGCCGACCATCAGCTCCCTCATCAAGAAGGCCCAGCAGAGGATGTACTTCCTGCGGCAGCTCAGGAAAGCCAAGCTGCCTGCACAGATGTTGGTGCAGTTCTACACGGCCATCATCGAGTCCATCCTCACCTCCTCCGTCACCGTGTGGTTCGCTGGAGCCACAGTCAGGGACAAACAGAGACTACAGCGCTTTGTGCGCTCTGCAGAGGAAGTGATCGGCCGCAGCCTTCCATCGCTGCAGGACCTGTACGTCGCCCGAGCTCGAGGCCGGGCTGGTCGTATCACAGCCGACCCCTCTCACCCTGCACATGGACTATTCCAACCACTCCCCTCAGGCAGGAGGCTGCGGCCCATCAGGACTAGAACCTCCCGCCACAAGAACAGTTTCTTCCCCTCTGCTGTTGGACTCTTGAACACTTCTTAACCTGTCCCCCCGCCCTTTATAAAGTCACTTTACTGCCCATCATACGTCACTTTACTTCACTGTACTGCTGTCACCTTACATTGTGTGCACCATGTGCACTTGTATATTGTAAATAGTAACTGTAACTCTATTTTAAATTTAAATTTATTCTTTAGAAGTGTTTTTTATTCTTATTTTTATTATCTCTTTTTGACTGTTGCACTGAGCCAAAGCAATTTCCTAGTCTGTGACCTCCTGTTACTTACGTGGCAATAAAAATGATTCTGATTCTGATGATTTTCACATACATTACTTTTTCTGGTCGACAGAGCTTTCGGAACAGCTGGAAACATTGGAGCAACCAGCCATCGAGCTCTCACCTCAAATCTCACCCCGATAATGGGCTCTTTTAAGCTTGTAATACAATTGTGTGTTTTTGCCTTTAGATTATTATACCGCGGCACGGTGGCTGAGTGGATAGCACTCTCGCCTCTCAGCAAGAAGGTCCTGGGTTCGAATCCCGGCCGGACCAGGGCCTTTCTGAGTGGAGTTTGCATGTTCTCCCCGTGTCTGCGTAGGTTTCCTCCGGGTACTCCGGTTTCCCCTACCACTAAAAATATGTCCAATAGTTCTGGCATGTGCCTCCTGTACTGGCCCCGCTCCCATCTCTGTGTGGAGTGAGAGACAAAATGCCCAAAATTAACAATTGTAAACCGCTTTGAGACTCAGATCTGCAGTGAAAAGGCGGTATATAAATAAAAACTTACTTACTTACTATTATTAAATTCTGATAGGAAATGCTAATTTGCAACTAAAATCTGGAACAGTCTTCCTAAATATTTGAGACAGGCCTCTTCTCTGGCAATGTTCAAGGCCACGTTAAAAACAGTTCTGTTTACTGTGCATAAAACTGAGGGATTTTATATTTTTATCTTTATTTTCAATTTACGGTAATTATTTATGATTTGAATGCTGTGTGTGGTTGTTTTTGTCTTGTTTTGTTCAGCACTTTCAGTTGCCTCGAGTATTAACTGTGCTATATAAATAAACGTGCCTTGCCTAATTTAGCAATCAATGTGACAAGTTTATTAAAATTGGGACTTTTCATTATTAAATTGACGGATCTCATATTGATTACACAAATGGTGGTGGTTACATGAAGCAATTTTGATCAAACAACAGGAACTAAATTGACCCTGATCAAAGGTTTACACACACTGGTCTCACAAACTTTGTTGTTAAAGGAAACATCCTGGCATTAAATGGCTTCAGCCAACCACTAATCATAAGTATATACATATGTCTCATCATTCATATATGTATAATATGTAACTGTATCAATAGCACTGAAGAACTCGTTACTAGATAGTTGGATAGATTTGCTTGAGACTGACCTCCATGCGTTTAATGCCTCCTGCTCCTCGTCCTCCATAGTACGAGGCGTCAACTGTCGGCCATTTACCTTTGGGCAAAGGTTCAGGCTCCTGAGATGAAAAAAGTAAACGCATTACACACATTACTAACCATAAATATCCCATATTATACCGTATTGCTTTGGTTTATTGTGTAGTTGAGAAAAGATTTTCTGAATACCAACAATGTTTTCTCAAATTGATAGATACATTTTTTGATGCACTTATCCAACATTATGCTTATGTAAGTTTGAAGTTTAAAGACATGACTAAAGCACTTGAGGGGCACTTGTGTTCAGCTCATGTGCAGCGGCAGCAGCAGATTTTTCAGCCCAGCGGTTGGTCTCTGACACTGACTGACAGGAGACTGAGGAACAGGTTGTGAACAATGTGATGGGACTCAGGGACAAGGTTTAACAGCAGACATATATAGGCACAGGCAGGAAGTAGACAGCAGGGTAAATTAGGGCTTTGTAGTATTAAAACAAGTGCAAGCAAGATTTAGAAAAACATTTATAACTTGTATCAAGTCCATCAGGGGAATAATCTATGTCCTTTGCGCTCTCTTGCTCATACCACACTGTGCACTCTATCCTTTAGAAAGATATAAAGCCAAATCATTTCCAACTGTTGAATGGTGAAAAGTGCTAAAAATGATGATATTATTAACTATGGCTACTGCCAAAGTCAGACTTCTATTGGACATTCTTTTTCAGTCTGTCCAATAGAATTGTAACGGTACCTGCCCTCCAACTGAAATAGAATTCTAGAACTTGAACGCAACCTCGACAGCTGCTTAAACTTTCTTACACATTGTGTTTTCACCCGAGTCCCACTCCTCTAACCTTGAGCCCGCTTTGGTTAGTCCTGCCACAGTTGATGGGCTGTAATATGTGCCAGTGTGTTACTCACCGGTGGAGGAGGTCGGGATGGAGGTGGTGGCGGAGGAGGATCCTTGATGACCTGGAAAAAACAAAGCACACGATCTGTCAGAAGTGCGGTCAGTCACTGGGCATGCTTCTAAACGTGTTGGACAGACAGAGATGATGGAGGACAGTGTTCAGACAGGACACTGACGAGAGCAACTTTTACAGCGCCTTCGCACCAGGAACTGCGTACTGCGAGCTGGACATTATATCCTCTTCCATTCTATTATGGAAGGTGATGGTTAGAAGTTGATAGTAGTGATGGTTAGAATTATTGTATCTTTTATTTGAAACATATCTATGGGACGCTCAGATATTGTTTTTTCAGGATTGTGTTTGCAGGACCCAAATGTTAGCGACAAAAATCTCTGCATTGTCTATATTAGAGAAATGTGAGAGTAGAGGCCCGACAATCAAATTGTGAGATTTCTATACCGTTACACGCCTACAGGTTGTTGTACTTTTTGCACTCTTGCCATTTTAAATCATTTATTAATCTTTGATGTTATTACATTACATGGTAAACTGTGTTAGAGAGTAATTTACCTCATTAGAGGAGGGAGCAACCGATTAGCTTATTTTTATATATCTTGCAAGTCATCTGAAATCAGTTTTCTTTCCCAATCATTGGATGTTATAACCCCCCACTCTTTAAAGAAAAAAAACTCTACCCAGTATAGTCATGTTATACTCAGCGGGGGCGGGTTCCGGCTCAAAAGTGGCCAAAATCACGTGCGCTGACATGCTTGCAATACCACCCCGGGCCGATGGGGGTGGACCCGGAATAAGGCAACTGGCCCATGTTACAGATGCGAACAAAATGCGAACAAAATTGTGAAAAAACGCATTTTCTTGTGGGCGGGACCACTCGCAGCCATTTTGGATAGCTCCATTAGAGCACCGTTTTTGGCCCATTAGTTTGAACGCCGAAGATAGGCGTGACTACGTCCGTTAATATTTACAGTCTATGGTTATACTTTAATTCAGCCATTGAGAACAGAAGTTTTCAATGTCATGAAATGTATTTAAATGGAAGTCGCAAAACCAGGTTTCCCTTTATATCTGGGTGGGCTAGGACTGATGTAAAGACGTTGTAATGCATTTACATTGTTCCATGTCATTTCGGTTACGGCTCTATTTACTCCAATGTTGTCACCAGCAGTGGTTTATGGATATGTAGTGCATTTGCATGATCTATCACTGACTTGGTTTCATGGTATTTTATGTTTATTGACATGCATGTTGTCTGGGACAAGAGTGGTCTGACTGGTTTGGAGAAAAAGACAAATTGAGCTCTGGAGTTTTAGCGAAGTCCAAATTCTTTATCCATATAAACAGAGTCTGTATTTGCCCCTGACAGGTAACGAGAGACATCTCCTCTACAATAAGCCAACAGCCGGGGCCCCCAGTGCTGAAAAGAGACTTCTGAACCACCATAGACAGACTGCGAGGCAAGCGGGGGAGGGAGGGAGGCTTTTCAACTGGCTCTAGCTCCGCTCTTAATTAATTGGATAGAGCCCGATGCTTCCAAGCAAATCCCCCCAATCATAAAGTCCTAAGGAGTCAATTAGCCGCAATGAGATACAGCAGAGCGCGATCGGGCAGCGGGCCAAAGCCGTGCAAAAAAAAGGGGAGAAAAAACAGCTTTGTTCCGTGGCAGATCGGATGAGATGGACGGCAGGGGCAGGTGGTGACCAGTCCGCGGGCGATTCTGGTGACAATGCTGACACCGGAGAAGCAGGTTGTACGCAATGTGACACAGCTCAAAGGCAAGATGGCCCCGAAGAGCTTCCCCAGATGTTGACGGAATTGGTAAAATGAACACGCAGCGAGCTGATGCAAGGTCTGCCGGTGGATTTCAAGTGCTTTTTAGACGTGAGATTTCGGCTGGGTTTGTTCTAAGGGAAATAACAATAATAGCTGCATGGTTTTGACGTTGATAAAGGATGTTAAAGAGATCTAGAGATGGGGTATAGGCTTTGAAAACGCAGAGGTGCAAGTTATGTTTCTCTCTCTAGATCAGGCCTATTGAATGTGAAAAAGCAAAAGTTTGTATCTTGGTTCTTTTTGGATAAAACAAGATTGGCCAATGGGACAAGTTAAACATTTCTTCTTTTGTAATTTCAAGTGAGAATTTATCTTAAAAACAGAAGTTTTGACTTTGGCAAATCTTGATTTTAGTACATTTTGTTATTAACCTAATAACTTTCTGTTTTAAGGGGATCCTGGTTTATATTTGGTAGTTGGTAGTAGCCCAGGCCAAGATTCGTACTGGCTTGGCATTTATTTTCCACAAAAATTGAATTGTAATGGAATTAGATTTGTGTTTGAAGTATTTGTTATTTTGTATCTGTTAAATGTTCAAAGTAAGGATCTAGCACTTGGGGAAAATACTATCCCTTTTATAGAACATGACACTATGAATTTCTCTTTTTCAGATGGTAGTGTGACCACTTCTATATCTGTGAGAAAGTCATGGTGGGGAATGGTAAGACTGTAACATTCCATACTTTACTAACCGTGTTTTTGTATAAACTGTATTCTGCACTGAAAGAACATTGCTCCATAGATCCAGATTACCACCTAATGATTGGCAGCATTGTACACGGATTCTGGTATCTTCTGCTATGTCGACACTTGGTTGTAGTATTTCCTTTGCTTACTATTACCATTAGAAATAGGGTTAGGTGAAAGTTGAGCTGTTGAGTACACATTTGTCTTTGAGTATCTTTACTTATGTTTTGTAACTCGTCATGTATGAAATAAAAAGAAGACATAAAGAAGAAAGAAAGTTGAACTAATGTTTTGTCGCACGCTAAGACATATCATAAATCAAAAGCTGCAGAATTGTTGACAAGCTGCATAGCGACAACTACATGCTTTTCCTTGGAGTGATTTGCAGAGACTTCTGACTGACGGTGGACTGAGGAGCAGGTTGTCCTCAATGTGATGGAACTCAAAGACAAGATGTCCCGTGGATTAAGACAGGAGGACAGCCGTGCACACAGCAGCACGTCCGTCCCAACACGTGAGAGGGACAGGTGTCACCGCTCGGGGCCAAATGACATCAGAATCATTCAGTCTTCCACATGACACAACTACAGAGAAGCAATGGAGGAGCTGTGTAGTCAACAGAAACAAATTCACCAATTCACTCAGTCTTAGCTGTCGGATCACTCTTGTCTAAGTCAAGGTCAAAGAGCCCAATAGACTTTATCATCAATATTTAGTGATTTTATTTTAGAGCTAGAACTGCAACTATAGTATATTTCAATGACATTTATGGACTTTATCAACATTTTTGGACATTGGTCATCCGTCCCTTCAGGCCAATGGCTCTGTGTTTTTTTATTATTTCATTTCTTGTGTTTGAACTGTTTGATTCCCTGATATCTGTTGGAGAATTTTACGGTTTTGTAAAGTCCTCCGGGATAACTACTGTTGTGATTAGGGCTATGCAAAAATACATTGACTGCAAGAATAAATTTCCTGCCCCTTCAAAGCACTTTATGTCTCTTTTGGGCTAAGGGAAGTGCAAAACTAATATGTTTTGATTCATTAATTGATTGATTATTTGATTGATTGAATTGATTGGTTTAGTAATAATCCACACAATCAGCACTATCCACATTCCATAATACCCTAAATAAGTGTTTTGACCGCAGACTGTCACTTTCTCGTCTTAGCCCCAACAAATGATTGTAAGTCTGTTTCTTACCAAGTCCACTTGATTACCAGGAACTAACATACAGTAATAAGACTTTCCTGTCACTATCAGATTTAGTCCTGCTTTTGTTCTGATTTGAACCCAGTGATCCGTTCGAACACTATTCCCTTGAGACCACAGTTCGTGTCTGTCCCTACGATTTCACACACACACGCCTTTTGGCCAAAGTCATGACACAATCTTAGTTATTAGGCCGATGAAAAGTCACGGTGGACACTTCCATGCTTATTTGGGTGCGGGCTGTGTCACTATTTAAGATGCTTTATGGACCAAAACTTCAACCTAAGCAGAAAACCATAATGTAATGTCCTTATTTCACTGTCTGCTCCTTGTCCCCTCTCTGCCCCATCGCCCGGCCGAACTACTGCTATAAATACTTCTAATTGGAGTAGGAGCATATCTCAACTTAAGGCCGCCCCCCGGACCAGAGGCCATTAGTCACCGTGGACACTGTGCATTTGCTAAATTGGTTTTGGTGGGAAAATGTAATGTGATTATGGCATATCATAGATCCTAGCAGCTGTTTGCTTCAGCAGATTCCCTCGCACATACTGTTGTCATTAAAATAATGAAAAATCATCTATTAGGGAGAATTCATAATCTGCTGGCAACATACGACTGGCTGTGGAGGTCGCCATGTTCAAATGTTACAAATGTTTTCATAGAAATGTGGCCATTCATGTTTTCAGTATTATTTTGATCAAGACAATAACATATACAAACACACTGTATACAAACCAATACTGCTGCTTGTTTCCATGGAAAACATGTTCAATTGGCTCATACCTTCCAACAACATATCAACCCTCATGTAAAATTGTAAAATTGTATGGTTTTAACTCTTTTTTTCCCATACAATCATGCAGCTGATAGGTTAATACAAAACCATGAAATATGAATATAGTTGCTACAAGGGATATATTATACGGAATTGTATTTTTGTTACAACATTCCATTCCTCATCAAAAACCACTTAGGTTATATATGTTGGCTAATATCAGCTAATATCCTTCTGTCTTAATGGTGATATATTATGTGGTAGTATTCATAACCATATTGTGCCTTTTAAAAAAAAAAGTATTGCCACCAGACTGCATGGCTGTATATGCAGGACGCAAAGTTTTTACATATTATGAGATTATACATATACATAATGTCCACAATGTCCAATGTGAGTGTAGTGGTATGGTTTGCCGCAGGCTACTGCGGCCACTGTGGTCGCTGAGGTCCACAATGCCATGATACAGCGGCATTTTGGGCTTTTCCTACACATTTGTGTGGTCAGGCTGGACCTCGCACACCAATGCTCTGCGCGTAATGAGCCACAGCCTAAGACTGTGGCTCAACATTTTCAGCCCAACATTTTCTTCATAACTGCAGCACAATATCTTCAACACTTTTGTGCACATTTTGTGTTGGCCATGGGAAAAAAATCTGTGACACACACTATGGTCCTGGAAGGATAATCAAAGATAGGAAAGTGTACGTGTGTATATGTTGTGAAAGTGAGAGTGAGCGGCAGATAACGTCACCCTGGTTGATTTTACACTCCAGGTTCGCTCTGATCGCTTGGGGTCGGATTAGCTCTTTTTATTAAGCAATTACGGAGCAGATTTCCCCGACATATTGTGGATAAATAGGGGATTATGTGCTACCTGATGGGCAGATGCGCGCCACCGTAATTAAAAGCTCAGCCATCTGATGCTACGAGAACGCAAACGGTCAGAGAAATAATCCAGTGATGTCCAGAGCCCGGCCCAAACCGTGTGGACGCAAGCTGTTTTTCATCAGGCCTAACACACTGGGAGGCTGCCAGCTCTCCAATATGGAATGTGATGGGGAGGTTGAGGGTTAGACTCTGAGGGGAGTGCATATGCCCTCACTATGGCAATGTGTGTTCTCCCTCTGTGACAGAACTTACTTTGAAAAGTAAGAAAACGTGTATTGTAAGAAGATAATGTCATTTTTGCAACTAACACTGCAAAAAGTAAGATAAGATAAGATAAGAGTTCCTTTATTCGTCCCACAGTGGGGAAATTTTGATGTTGCAGCGCAGAGACAGGAAAGCAGTAAGAGCACACAGGGAGTGCAAATAATAGTGATGAAAAAAAAAAAGTTACATTTAGCAAAACAAATTTTGCTAAATGTAACTTAATTTCAGCACATTTCGACTGCCTTAAAAGAAGATTTGCCAATAGAGCAAGCAAAATGATCTTGTTTTAAAATATACAGGAAATGTCTCCCTTTGACTGAGAAAATAAAGTAACAGTTCATGAAATAAGACATGTATAAATCAATCTTAGCATTGCATATTGACCTTCTTTGCTTGTCATTAGATACATATTGAGCTTTTCTGTGGTTTTTAGGAGCCATCTTAAATGTTGAGAGACCTAACTGACCAAACTGACCAAAAAGGTGTCCAGTCCCTTTATTTGATTTCCACTTCCACATAACTGATCAGGCAGCTCTACTTTGCAATAGGGTTTAATATTTTTCCCGAAAATGAGACGTATCAAATCCCGGGAAAAGGCGACGCCTTTCCCGGGAAATCCCGGGAAATAGCTGTTGTTTGTAGTTGTTGTTTTTAGCCCAAGTAATGTGTGATATCACTCAAATATATAATCCAACAAAAGCTGCCATCTCCACTAGTATTTCACCAAGCGACTTGCTAGCTTTGCTAAAGTAGCCATAGCGTTTTCAGACGTTTTGTTGATGGGCTTTCTTCAGGAATTTCACTAATATGAGATTCTAAATGTCTGCGCAATCCACTTGTCGACCAGTGACGTGCGGTGTGGTTTGGAGGCACTGACTTCAGCCCAATCAGATGAACATATATCATATAAATCAACAGAACCTGCAGAGCGGCTTATTCACAATTAGTTTGGCTACAGCAGAATGTTTTCCATGCCCGCATTGTTTGCTCAAACAAAACGCAAAAGTTCGTAAAAGGCACATTTCCAATTGTGTTATGGGTCTTACCTTAGTTATTAATGAACAGCACAGACCACTTCGGTTCAGACCAGTTTCATGTTTAAGTCCAGATAATAGTTTGAGCGCAGATATGTAATCCCCCATTTGGAAATAAGCCCAAAGAGTTTTAAAGCGTTAAACAAAACGGGTGCCACCTCCATAAACTCCTGTGTGTTCGCTGCAGCCGGCTCTCGGGCGCATCCAATTTCTAATATCAACCTTCTTACCCTTCTCCTCTCTTCCTTATCATTCCTATCGTCATTGGAAGCAGAACATTACCCTAAATGCATTTTATATGATCTTAAAATGTGTTATATGTATGTTAGCCAAACCTGTTGCTGCCCTTAGCAGATGAAAAAAAAGAAAGGAGCTTTCTGATAGAATTGGACGTAGCCAAATTCTGGGCTCACATGCGCCCCGTACCCTGAGGCTGGCCTCATTACAAGTCGTGGTTTAGCGCGATTAAGACCCATATTTGTTGTCAAAAACACAATTTATGAGCCATCCTCTCAGCTGTAGACATGTTGATTGTAAATGAAATATGTTTGAACTTTGAACAACAATACACGTGCTTTATAATAGGAGCGCACTGTATTTTTTTTTTTACTTTCATTTCCCGTTTCCCGTCATAACATTTCCCGGGAATCAGGAAATAGTTTTCATCAGATTTCCCGGGAATCCCGTATCCCGGGATTAAACCCTACTGTACTTTGCAATGCGCCATCGTGCCTCGTGACAGCCTTTAAACTGTCTTCCTTATGCGCGCCAGAACTGAACCCAGTCGCAACTTTGTTCTAACTAAACTCCACCACCTTTTGTTTTTGAAAGCTGCCTCATTTCATTTCCATTCTGCACATTTCGCGAAACCCTAATCGCGGCTCAGAGACAAAGAGCTCCACAGCTTGTCTGACCCTGACGCTGGCTTCGTTCCATGTTTGTGCAGAGAGTGAGGGATTGTGAGGGAAAAAAACAAAACAAAAAGGGAGGGATGGCTTTGGCAGACTGCGGGTTTAAATATTAACATCCGCACACATGGCCGGGTCCCTGGATGGGGAGCAAAAAACCCAAGGCCCGGGCCAGACAGGCTGCAGGCGGCTTACCCACTAACGCCTCTGTTGGTTTTCCAAAATATGCTTCCTCCGAGCCCCCGTCAGGCCGTCGCAGCCAGGTGATGCAGCAATGGAGATATTTGAATAAAACTGAGAGAGGCATCTGCGCGTGAAGGCCCAGAGAAGGCAGATAAGGATGGACAGGCAGAGAGACAGACTCCAGAACTCTGTATAGTATAAATGTTTATATAGCTAGATTTGGATCATAAATCTTACTTCGATGTTTCATGTTCTAGAACTTGCAATATTATTCATATAAAAGATATGTTAAGAAAAAAGAACAACTCTCTGAAAAGGGTTTTGCATCTGAAGGCTCCTCCCACTGCACAACTACAGGTCATTTTCAACCAAAAACCCCAGGTCTCCTCTTCCTTAAACACTAATTGTGTAAAGATGTGTTAAAACAACTCATTCTACCCAACTCGCGACAGTCTTTTTGCCGTGGCGTGTTCAATGTGAACACCCAGACCAAATAAAGCTGTAGTTTAGACATTGATCAAACCAAACTGTTTTAAAGGCTGTTGTTTACTTGTGGTAAAGATTACAAAACTACACAGAGGTCAGACTTTGTATAATGATGGCGTAACAAGAGTGAAGCTTTTACCAAGTTCAAAGTTTGCTGTTGCACATGCTGCTCTTATTGTTGAGAAGTTTTCTTTGTTAAATAAAAGAATTTTTCATATATTGGTCCCTGGTAGTCCTTGGGTCCTGTGACTTTAGAAGACTTAAGGCAAGACGAGTTTGTGATGAAATTTCCTGGTTTCACGTGGATAAAAGCAGTTCAAGAGAGGTTCAAACTAATGTCAAGAGGACTTAAACCACAGACATTACAATATTTTTCAGAACTGCATTTGTAAGAACTACTATGAAACAGAAGTGTGAGTCTGTTTTTGAAATGTGCTCCTGATATCTTCCATTTTAAAGTTTGTTGTTATGAAATACTGTAGGACGGAAAAATGTGAAATGGGAAATGTTAAAATGACAAGATACATACGTTTTTTTTGTCTTCCTTCTGCTCCTGTTTGTTCATGTTGCACAATTGTAAAGACACTATATATGATTTATGTGAATAATGTGATGACATGGACAAATGAATAAATAAATGCATGGATAAAGATGTGTTTTTTGAATGTTTAATGTTATAAATGTCATTTACACTTTACGATCCCGCACTCGCCTCTGCGTGTCCCCACTGTGCGTGATGCATCGATGCCTGCAGCTCCAGGGCGGATTATACTTCTAATCCTCAGAGTAAACAGTGTATGATCAGCGCCAGTCCTGCTTTAAACAGATTTGGAAACTTCACACCAGTCTGTCACACTTCTGCTTCTTCAAAACCACTTCATGTGCGCTAATCAGTCAGTAAGTCGCATCTATGACTGTATCTGTTCATTATCTACCCGAGCGTGTGTCTGATGGAGAAGAATAATACATAAAGCACACTCACCACTTTGCAGCACAGGGGCCAGAACCACCACATGAAGACCAGGGCCAAGATGAGGAAGAGGACCAGGAAGATGATCCCCACCACCAGGCCGTCGGACTGTGTGAGAGAAGACACCAGTTCTTATTACATAAGAGCTCAATACAAGAAGATAAACATGCATTGTCAAGGTAACCTATGGAAAAACACACACATCCATATTTTCAGGGACAAATCTACATAAGGGGGACTTTCAAATACTACACAACATATTTCCAAACAATAGGGCCCAGTAAAAATAAAGGCTTTTGGACCCTTATCTAACACTGCCCTATTTGAACAAAAAAACTACATTTATATCTAATTTATTGAACACAAATAAAAAATATTGTCACCAAAACAGTATTCATGACAGACCAGCAAAAGCCTGTAAAGGTGGTATTGCGTAGGGACCGCAAAAAAATGACAAAAGTGTCTGAATAAACACGATTGAAACTTGAGCGATGGCTGCTTCCTTATGGCCCTTTCAGTTATTAATTTTTAACAAAACAGTTGAAAATACAAATATATATATATATATATATATATATACAGTATATTCTCTCCACCATCTGTCTATCATCGGTACAAGGAGCTCCAGGAGAAAGGCACTCACACAGGTGGAGGCTGTGATAGTGTAGGGGCTGGAGATGAAGGACTTCCCATTGTTCAGGCTGATCAGAACATCCATCGTCCTGAGGAAAAAAAAACAAGATCTTATTGATCTTGTTTTCTCAAGATCAATAAGAATAAGAGATTTTATGTCTTTGTTTTCATTGGCTTTATTTGATTGGGACAAGTATATTTCATGAACATATGTTAACCAATACAACATTTTAGGCAGGACTAATTCTCAACACCTGTCCCCAGCTGGGCCATACAGTATACTATATACCAGAACCCAGTTTCATTCAAACTGGGACCGAACTTTCAATCCACCAATAAGGAAATTATGTAATGAAATATATATGTTTGGTTCAAACATTAGTTTTCCCATATATGTAGTTTTAGCCTCTGTGACATCTTTAGATCAGTGTTTCCGAGGGATACGTGTAAAAGAGGACCCCTTCACTCAGCCAGTTATCAGCCCAAAGCTGCAAATAAGGACTCACAGAGCAACAAATCAAATGTTTTCTAACAACATAAAGAAACAAGTCCCAAGTGGAAATGCTCCCATAGTGTAATTTCTAATAAACCACTGTAAACAATATATTTGTACCCAAAACAGGAAGGGAAATTAGTGGATGGACACCAGATCATTTCTCATTAAAGCATAATAATAGCAAATTGTATTTGTATTAAAGATAAGTAGTGTCACTGACAATCAAAAACGATATCAATTGAAGGTTATTCAGACTACAGGCATTTTAGAAATATGTATTGTTATTATTATTACTTTATTACTTTACTTATTTTTCTCACTGCTCAGGTCACAAACAAGCACACACACACTCACAAGCATCCATACACACACACACACACACATACACCCTCATGTAAATTTCCACAGTGTTTGTATGTTCATAAATGTCCACAATATTTGTTTCTTATTATTTATTTATATATTTAATAAAACAAATAAAAGTACACTGTCTTTAAGCACAAATGTTCATCTAAAATGGTCATCAATACAAGGGAATAGTTTATGAATCAAAACTTGCAACAGAAAGCTGAATTACTCACGTCCATTTCTCTAATCAATGGTGCTCCCGTTCTTTGTTAATTACATCTGAGTGAGCGCGCGAGGGTCTGGTCTGACAGAGGCCAAACGAGCTACAATTAAAACTCTAATGATGAACGGCACCACAATCTCCATATGTCCAAAATTCTCAGGCAATTACTGCAGAGCGAGCCGCGAGCGAGAAGAGGACCACCCCAAAACCCTGCACGGGGCACTGGGATATGCAAATGTGGATAACCACACTCGCATTTCAGAAGGATGTGTTAAATATATATCAAATGCTCGGACGCGTTGTACTTTGGTCTGCATGGAAAATGAAAAGATTGTCCAAAAGTTCATTTACGTATATACTGTATTGTTGATAATTGGCTCAAAGATTATAAAAACTCTAAATAAAACATCTGGACTGTAAGCCCTGTATTGGTTTCAAGTTGATTTACAGAAATGTATACTTTTGAGGGATATTCGAATTGCCTGAGTTTTAACTGTATTTTCAACATTTATGACTTCCACTTTACCCTAGTTCTGAAGGATGTATATCATTATTGTATCAATATCGATATCATACCATTCAAAATATTAATTTCAAAAACTCAACAATAAAAAATATAGATTTCCCCAAACTTCACCCTTTTATATTATTGTGCTTTTTTCATCTAAAAAATGCAGTTTTCACCAAATCCTTAGTTATATTGTATAAAATATGTTCACTCTACATCTCTGTTAACGTTATCACAACAAAGTGCTAAATCAGTAACACTTTTTTCATTTGTGCAAAAAAAAAGCTGGTTAAAAGCTATTTATTCTGTTTTCCAAAATAAATTCATCAAGATCTTAAAAAATAACAAAAAAGTGCTGCTAATTTATATTAAAAACAAATTTCCCAGCAGAAAAACTGATCCAAGCTTATGTCACCTCGAGGCTTGACTACTGTAACGCCCTGCTGGCAGCGTGCCCTAAACCCTCCATAAAAAACTTCCAACTCATTAAGAATCTTAACAGGCCCCAAAGGAAGGAAACACATAACTCCAGTTTTAAGATCACTCCACTGGCTTCCTCTGGAGTATAGAATCATAATAACATCATTTTAAATCCTTCTTACAAGACCAAAAATAGTATGGTTTATTCAAGGCCTGGCTTAAAACATTCCCCTTTGATTCAGCATATGGTGAGGTGGTAAGACTCAGGTAAGACTCAGAAGGGTCTAAGGACAGTGGTGCTGATGCAGGACAAGACATTTATGGACATTTATCAACATTTATGGATGGGTTTTAATCATACATGTATGGGTTTTAATTGATTCTCTGATCTGTGTTGACGAATCAACAAGTTTGTAAAGTCCCCTGAGATAACTGCTGTTGTGATTTGGGCCTATACAAAAGTAAATTGGATTGAAATGAATTGAATTAATTGTGAAAATTAATAAAAAAAATAAAAAAAAAATCCCCTTTTATGACACAAATATAAATGCTGTATATCATGTCTGTTTGTCAGGGAAATTATCAACCATTATTTTTAATTTACTGATGCATTATATTTTTATGTTTTAGATATTCCCTAATAGATAACACAAAGCAATCGGTACAAGTGACATTCAATGCCACTTATGACTTTCATTTTATTTTTTCCGGCCTTTTTCCCATTACACATGTCTTTTTCTTTATCAACGTATCTACTTTTTTACTATTATTTATTTCCTGTTTTCCAGACAGCTTGTGAACCCTTTGAATCACTTGAAGGACCAGCTGTGTGTGTGTGTGTGTGTGTGTGTGTGTGTGTTTGTGTCTTTGCAGGGAAGGGGCCCTGAGGCAGTGCTAGGGGCCGCAGATCTCCAAGGACCCAAACCAACCAGACTCCACTGTTCACTGTGGCAACAAACGCACACTTTTGAAAACCTTTTTAATATATATTTAATTTATATTTGACTCACAAGATGCACTAAACTTTGACAGGTCACTTGTTGGGGGGAATTGTTTCCAACAGTTAAAGAAGGATCATGTCCTTGTATCTGCTGTACGATAATAATCCTTGACAAACACACAAATATTTAATCTCCGTTATTGACAATAAAATGAAATCTGCCAGGAACAGGCTTTCTAAAGCTCACTTACATACTTATTTAATAATTGTAATATAATTAAATATATAAAGTGTCCTCCTTGTGCCTGTGCACAACTGTGTAAATATATCATTTGAATAAACTGAAATAATCAAATCAAGACTGATCGTGGAGCCTCTATCAGTGCCAAACAGAGACTACAGAGCACTGTGCATTCTGCTGAGACAGTTATTGGCCAAACCGAGCTCAAGGGCGGGCTGGCCGTACCACTGCCTCTCATCCTGCACATGGACTATTCCAACCACTCCCCTCAGGCAGGAGGCTACGGTCCATCCGGACCAGAACCTCCCGCCATAAGAACAGATTCTTCCCCTCTGCAGTTGGACTTTAGAAAACTTCATAACTCATCATTGACCCCTGTGTACACAACCGCGTCACGCGGCGTGGCGTAGAGACGTGGCTGCTGATGCTCTCCCTGTGTAGTCTAAGGAGAAGTAGAGGACAGTACAGGCCAGAGAACTGAGCAGCAACATCTACATGTGTGTGTTTGTTCTCATGGTCTCTGTGAGCTGCAGTTGTGACGCAAAACTTTATGAAAAAAAAAAAAATGCATACAACCAATACACAAGGCCCCTATTTTGGGCTGAAGAATGCAGCTGGGTGCACGGCTGGGTGCGCGGCTGGGTGCACGCTCGGTGCTGCGCGTTGACGAGCCGTGTGTACGCTTTTATGAAATGTTATAAAGATTTTTACTTTTACAACTTGTTTCCACATTGAGCCAAAGCCAATTTATAGTTGGTGTCTTCCTGTTGTTACTCACAATGGCAATATAGTCATTCTGATTCTGATTTAAACCATAGATTGATTCAGGCATGTTTGAGTAATCTCTTTCGTTGTCATTGTTCAGTTTGTCAACACATTTTCATTTCATCCTGCTATTTTATCATTATGGAATTTTCTGAGTCATAAAATCTCTTTAAGTCTACAAGAAACAATTACCGTAATCATATACAAAATTAGTTAGACAATTATTTCAATAATCGTTTAGTTGTAATTCAATAATTTCACTGTAGTTATGTTAAAACTGAGCTTGTAATTCCTCTTGATGTTTTGGTAATCAGAAGGTCAAAGCAGAAGTGCGCTGACAACGTGGCAGACACTGAGAGGAGCTATTGTGGTTTTGCCTTGGTATAAAACCATGTGGATGTTGTGAAACTCTCGGAGGGGGCATTTATGCTGCGCCTCATTCACCAATATCTTCTTAAGAATCTTCTTAAATTTCTTCTCAAGTCGTTCTCAAGTAGATTTCTAAGAAGAGCCTACGTGGGATTCATCAACGCGCTCGTAAGCCACTGAATTGTTTGCAGCTGTTCTCTTAGATTGATGAATGCCAACTCCTCGTAAGTAGAGCGCGCGTGCCAGGTGATTCATTAGCATAGGTACTTAGCACAGGTAACCGCCCATTAATGCCCATAAAAGGGACTGCAGGGCCGTATACAGATGTCAGAGGAAACAGCAACAGACCTAAGGCAAAGAGTTACACGGAGCCAAAGAGTCACCCCTTTTTCTTCTTTTGCCAGACTCAGGTTAAAGTCATAATATTTTGACTTTAAAGTCGAAATATTATGAGAATAAAGTCAAAATAGCAAAATTATGAGAGCAATGTAAAATTATTATGAGATTAATCTAAATATACAATGTACTAATTTAAATGTAAACTAATTTAAATATTATGGGATTAATCTCAAAATATTATGAGATTAATCTCAAAACATTTTCGGACCCTGGAAGGAGATCCAGCGCGGACCAGCGCTGAGACTAATGCAGACCTGAGGAGAGACATAGACTGGAGAGACGAGGAGAGACCAACGCAGACCCGTAGTAGATAGTAAGTAGTAAATAATCTTTATTTATATACAGCCTTTCACAGACCAGAGTCACAAAGCGGTTTACAA